TTGACTCATGTATCAATTCACCAAAACGTATCATTCAATTGGTAAACATATTCTATAGTAAGTAAATTAACACCTAATATAATTCAATTCACATATGCAACTAATATCTTTCCTCAAAATCACTCTAAAATCCCTTAGGTTTCCCAAAGGGAACCCACAGAGACCTTGAATCATTCAATTATCATACATTTTGACAATTCATGCCATCAATTATGAGTGAGAAGAAATGAGTAGAATAAAAATATTAGGGGAAATGTCTCATACATAGGCACACAACATACATAGGATTGGGGACCAATCCCACTACTCAACATACAAACTCACACCTAAAGTAAGGTTTCTCACTCCTTCTTACCTGGATAAGCTAGCTTTAGATGATGAGTGCACGACTCAAGGGTGATTTCCTTCCTATTTTTGTTCTTCGAGCTCTGAAATGCATAGATGAAAATAGAGGTGTACAAAAGGGTTTGATCATAAAATTCCTCTTTTAAAAACTGTAACCTCCCTTTAACCCTATAGTTAAAACATACTAATCACAATTACAATTTTCTTTCCTTCTTAATAAGATATTATATTATCCTTTAATAAAATATCATATATAATATTCTGAAATGTATTACATAATTAATTTAAATATTTAACAACTTTTATTAATAAAAATAAAATTACTAAAATTATTAATAAAATACTTATATTATCTATTATGAAAAATGGGGTGTTATAACTGTTCTTGTTATTCTTATGATAGAACTTATGTTTATATTTGTATTTCTGCTTTATTTTGGAGTTTTGTTTTGAGAGGTTGTTATGTGAGACTCTTTATCTCATGTTGAAGACTACATTTTTATTATTTATGCATGGGTTTGGTAATTTATATCCTTTGTTTCGAATCATCATTTATATATGTATGCGTGGGGTAGAGGGTCTCACAATATTTATGCATGGCAAGGCTCACCTTGCATCTGACACCTTCCTCATAGAGAGTAACATTTGCTCTCTAAAGGCCTCTCACCCATCATGGCCATACCCACGCTTGGCGTCATAGCTATCAAGGGCTCTAGAGATCTTGCCCCCAATGTGGTCAACACCATGCCTAACAACTTAGTTGGGGAAAGCAACCCATGCCTTCTAGAGGTCCAATGCTCAATGCAATCTCATTTGGCATCTGGTGTCGTCAAGACAAAGAGAATCGTTTGCTATTAGGAATCTTGGTGTCTAGCTTTATGTGGTCTCCACACTCAACATAATAGCAATTTTGTCCCTTCTATAAAAACTTCAAAAAATGGCACGCTTTGCCCTTTCTCACTTTTAATTCATTCTAATTAGTGAAAGTATTGCTCTTTTGTGCCATTTATTACTTGTTTAACACACCAATTACTCAATTTCTAGTTATATTATTCAATATCCATCTTGCTCTATCACATTGTGGGAACTTACCCAATTTTTCTTTTCTCTTGAAGCTTCACCAAGATTTCCACTTGTTCTTTCAACGTTTTCCGTCCTCTTTCTCAATTACAAAATAACATCAAAAAGCTTTTTACAAATTAAGATAAGTTTTGTCAAATCAAGGTCTTAAGTCAAAGGAAAATGAGATAAGTGCTTCAAATTGTACCACAAGATTAAAGAAATTATGGCACTTATCATTTGAAAACGAGAGTTAATGATAAAAAGAAATATTTTCTAGTTTAAATTATTATATATAATTATTTGAATTTTAAGAAAGGCATAATTGACGATAAATTAACGATTTTTACTAACAAGTTATGCGCAGGCCAGGGTAATTAGTTTGTCCTTTTTATATATAGATTAGTAAGATTAAGGTTGCCTCACATACTCTTAACTCACACACTCTTGTGATTTGAAGAGGAGGATAATTGGGTCAGCAAAAGACAACCTTTGAAATCCATATATGGAATTTGACATTCATTGAGGTAAGAGAATAGTGAAAACCTTACTTTGGGGGAATGGGTTATCTGTGGGGTAGCGAGATTGGCCCCAATTATGTTTGTTTGTGTTTGATTTATGAGAGAGTAATCCCAATTTTGATTATAATGGTAAATTTTTACCATCTATGGATTCCATTGTATTCTCAATGTGTTATTTGGATTATGATTACATTGTGATATGTGGGATTGTCTCTATTTTTGAATCTATGCATGTTTGTGGGTACCTAAGGAAATCCTAAGGATTGATACAAAACAAATTATAGGAGCACCAAATGTGAATAGATAGAATTAGAGATTAGGACGTATTAATTACATTGTAAACCCTTTCATACTAAAAAAATTGTGTGAACATGTAAAATGAAAACAAACTCAAAAGAGGTTAATGCTTCATAAGATGCATCTGCATCACCATGTTGAGCAGCTGTAGTTCCATCCTCAATAATATTTAACAAAAACTCACGTCACACTAAACATGTTCATCAAGCTAGAAATAGATTTCAAGTGAGAATTTCAATGAGTATAGCTTGCTCTTTGTAAAGAACCAATTTGATTACGCCCTGTCCCACTTTCAAGCTCATCATGGTGAAGCAAATGTTCAACATTTGTAGCTTGGGCAATCTTTAGTTGTCCATTATGTTTACATGATGCACCAACAATATTGACAATAGTGTTTAACTTGATAAAGAGTTGATAGACATGAATAATAAATATGGTACTAGTTTATAAGTTATCAATTGAAGTGATTGATAAATCACAATTTGTTTCCATCTAGTTTCTTGATCTTTAAATACTAAAATTGTATGAGAAAAAAATGTGACAACATTGTCACTATATTCAATATTTAGAAATTAAAAGAATTTAAAATAGTACATAATTATATAAAATAGAAAATACAAGAGCGAAAGATACAATCTTGATACATACCTTGAATTTTAAACTATGATGATTGCTAAGATATAAGATTTATGCAACAAGAAAATACACAAAGTCATAAATGGTTGTCTATAAAATTGTGACTATTGAATTGTGAAGGAAGTGAAGTTGAGCAAAAAACTAGAATAATATAAAATGAAAAATAAAAAATTGATAAAATATAAAAATACATTATAAACTAATGAAAGCAAAAACAGTAATTAGTAATTACCATGAAAATTACCAACAAAAAAAGGGAGGTGAAGCTTTGATGATCAAAGAGACAATCGCAATAAAGTTGTAGAAGAAAGAGATAAAAAAAGAAATACGAATACACCTTTTTAACCTAATAATATATTATTATTTTATTTTAGAAAAAAATAAAACTAAAAAACGTAACTGTACCTAGATATTTGCAAGTTTTCATCTCAGCCCATTAATATATTTAACTAAGTAACAAATGATGAGAGATCTGACTTTAAATTTGTAACCACTTACTATATTATAAAATAAAAAAATTGATTAATATATATTATAAACAAAAAGTTAATAATTTGAAAAAGTCATCATACGTCTGTCCGTCCTTGTATATATCTGTACAGGATATGGTATAGTTCCACTAGGGACATTTATGAATTTTATCTGATTTTAAATTTTTATACATATATAATTGCATGTGTTTGCAGGAATAATTTTTGCATGCTAATTCTATGTAGTGATATTTTTGTTTTCTGTTACAAGTAGCTGAGAAGTAAAGTGTAATGATTTATTGAACCGTTACATGATACTTTCCTTCTTGTGTACTCTAACAATCATCTCCCTTTCAACTTTCAAGTATGAGGCTCTTTCACATAGTATGCTTTGATTCCTCTCAAGTAAAAGCCTTTTTCATTCATGAGTATGAAATGATGACCTTAGAGCTTCACCATTGCTATCAATATACTTTAGATTTTGCATCACTGTTAGGTTTCTAATACTTAGTCATTAACCATTGTTATCAATACGCTCTAAATATTTGCATCGCTACTTGTCCTATCTGTTAAACCTCTAAAACTTAGCCATTATTACCAATATGCTCTTAGATATATACTTGTTCCGCCTTTAGCTCACATTAATGGAATACACCCACATGACTTTCACAATTCCAGGAAAGACTTTCTACATAAGGATTTTTATACATGAATCCATTGCAAATTCTACTATGTGCATAATACTCATTTGAGACCACAATATCTACATAAGGATTTTTATACATGAATCCATTGCAAATTCTACTATGTGCATAATACTCATTTGAGACCACAATATCAACTTTGATACTAATGAGTGAGAATATGAGAGGGTTGAACATTAGGGAGATCCTCATCAATGGGCATGAACAAACCACATGCAAATGAATTTATACCACATCTTAACTCAAACCCTTAAATAAAAGTCATTTTTTATGTGTAATATGCACAAACTGAAATGAAGATGTTTTTATTTTTTATTCAGATTGAGTAAGATTTTTTTTTTTTTTGCAGAATGGTGATCTAAAAAAAAAAAGTCATTTTTCATACGGATTACTCAGTAAAATACTAGTAAAATTTGTCAATTTGATTTCTCAATATTTAAATTTATAATATTTTAATTATTCTATCAACTTTATTCCATCCATCATTCGCGCTTATTAATTCTGAGAGGACCATAAATTTTATGAATTCGAATATCTTGGTAGATATCATAAAAAGACTAAAGTAAAACTTTAATCTGGGCAATACTTACAATGAAGGCAGGGTCACATACGAATATTCGTGAGTTTTGGAGTGAAGTTCACCAAGTGATCGCAAAACGGAAGTAGTAGATACATATACTTGCCAGTGTTAATTGCCACTAGAACATAGAAAAGGGATCCATGTGGTATACTTTTATTTATTTATTTATAAAATTATTTAATTATTAATATTAAAAATATTGACTAATGTAAAAAAAAAGTATTATTATTATTATAAAGTTTTGTGATAACTAGCTAGTTAATAGAAACGTGTAAAATAATTAGTAATTAGTAAAGAATGGGTAGAGGAATAGCGTACAAAATTCAAAGTCTTTAATTGGAACTAGTTACTGTGGCATTATGATGTGAGATCTAAGAACTGCGTTGTTATCAATGCTGTGGTTACTTTCTAGTTGTTTGCTTTAGAAAAGGTCTCATATTCTGATATCGCATTACGCATCCTAGCTAAGCTAGCACAAGCCCATAGCTATAGCACACCTACTACTATACTATAACTCAGCGACAGATCATGTCATGTGATAGATAATAAGCTTATATATACACAAACAAGTGGTGCAAGCAAAATTTGCAGAAAATAGCTGGAAAAAATATCTAATCTATAATTTCTCTTTTTGATCTGAAAAAGCAAAGAGTTTAGTTTATTTGTGGAAAGAGATATAAATAATAATATGGGTAGGGGAAAGGTGGAGCTCAAGAGGATTGAGAACAAGATAAACCGTCAAGTCACATTTGCAAAGAGAAGGAACGGTTTGCTCAAGAAGGCTTATGAACTCTCTGTCCTCTGTGATGCTGAGGTTGCCCTCATTATCTTCTCCAACCGTGGCAAACTCTATGAATTCTGCAGTGGCCCTAGGTAACTAATGAACCTCTTTCTTTCTGTCAAATAAGGATTTTTTTTTTTCTTTTCTGGGTCTTGATTTTTCTTTCATGGGGTGCTTAAAGTTTACATCTTGCTTCTGGTTAAGTGGTTTCATGAGGGGTTTGTCTCTGATTAGTGGCTGCATCTTGCTTTGTCTCTGATTTTTTGTGTCTGATTCTTAGGGCTTCATGGTGGATGTGTTGTTTGATTTTGTCTTTGTTTCTTTTAATTTTTTGTTTTTGGTCTATGTTTTTTGTTTTTGTCTTATATTTATGTTTCTGGTAGAATTGCTGTTAGAAGGGAGTTCACAGTTTCAACTTTGAAGATCGTTTTGATTCAAAATTTTGGCTTGATGGTTCGAGTTTTTTCATGCTGAATCTTCTCTATTTCTTTTTTTTTTCCTCAGGGTTTAGTTTGCTGATTAACGGTATTTATATTATTAGTTTGTTTATCATATATTGTAATAATCTAAAAACAACTTTTGTTTTTTGTGGTTTATTCAGAATATGACTTCAATTCCTTTCCTCGTAAGGTTTTTTTTTTGAATTTCTCGCTTGCAGTGGAACTTCATAAATAGTTTTGGTGAAAAATTAAAGAAGGGAGAAAGCGCAGGGAAGGGTTGGGGTGTGATCTCTGTTATGGATCTGCAAAATTTTCCTACAATGAGTTTTAAGAACTAAGAATTAGAAATATTGTGATAAAAATTATTCATGTAGCCTTTTGGATTAAGATCTGAAAAAAGTGCATGAGATCTCGGTCTTTTTCTTTAATTTTAATATATAAAACAGAAAAAAGATTACATGCATGAATGGTGAGAATAATAAGTGCACCAGGTGCAGTTGCTTTTGAAACTGCAGAAAATTCATTTTCCTTTTTAAATGGATGGTTCATATATAATTTTATAATCAGTCCTTTAATATCATTTTTTGTAATAAAACAACTTTAGTTTATGATGAAGTGATTCCAATATTTTTATTCAACTTTACAAAAACAAAAAAAAATAGTCTTGAGTATCTAAATCATAATGTTCATTATGCAATAATTCAATTTATGAAGTCATTCCTGCAAATTGGCACTGAGAAAGTGTTTTTTTGTCTTGATAGTTGTGTAAAGTCTCGTGTTTCTTATTCTGTAAAACAAACAAAGCAGTTACATGATTTACAACGTAGCAATGGTAATGCAATATTAATCTTCATTTTAGTAGCCTCTAGTGGGTCGTTGTGTGTCATGAAAAGAGACACTAACATTCTATATCTTTTGATAACTAATTTACATCCCCAAGATTCTCTTCGTTGATGTATACTCACTCTGATTAGACATTCAACCATATGTCAGAACACATCAAAAGAAAAGAAAAGAAACTATGCATTTGCATTGAATGAAAAAGATAGGACTTGGGTACAATGGTATACTTTAAATTATAACATGGAAAGATAAATACCTATATTATAATAAGATTTTAAAAATGCTAAATTCTCCAAATTTGAAATCTAAAACTTCTTCGGCACTTTAAAATTTTTTAAAAAGTCAAATGTGTAAATTGATCAACTTGAGTCTTTTATATATTCAGAGAAAATTTCGGACAATTGATTCGAAATATATATCATTACTCATAAGGTTTTTGCCAAAAACATTTATATGATTTTTGTACGTACAAATGGAAGTGACATATGTAACTTTTCTTTCACGTTAGATCAGCTTCTTTATTGTTACAATTGGTTTATCTCTCTCATTTTTCAAGCCTTCCATGCATCTTTGCTCAACAATATTCCAGTGGTGTTATATCCTGCACCCACCAGATTTGATTACAGCATAAACATCATACAAGTATTGTATAATTTCTATGCTAAAAAAAAACAAAACACATCATGTGCATGCAGTTTAAATCTTATGTGCATATTGAAGCTATGTGAAGTGTTATTGACTCACTGATAGCACTAGGAGTGAAACTGAAAGTGAATCATATAATGACTAAAGAACTGAGTACATTTTTCTGCATGAGACAAGCCCTGTGTTTATTTTGCTGCATGTGTCTAGAACTCTAGTTCTTCTAAGCATCCAATATCTTCATTGGCCTGTGTCAAACTTTAGCATCAGAGAGGATTGCTGACAATGTGTACGGATCTATGTAAGAAGATTACTTTTGATTTCAGTAATGTAACAGACATTGCATACTAATCATTTATTATAATCTTCCTCATCATAATTTATCGAGTCTTGTGCAATTGTTCTTACAATCAGTGAAAATTTATATATATGTGCATATGTTTGTGTGGATGTATTTGAGAAGAACATAAAAGATGAAAGAAGTTAATCTTCATTATTCATGATTATAATTGTTCTTGTGAATGTTGTGTGAGAAGAACGTAAAAGATATTAAAAAAAAAAACAAAGTTTATCTTAATTATACACAACTATATATGATTATATATA